GCAACTGTCTTGCCACTGAAGCTCAAAGTCTATATAATGTGCACATGTAATTTTAATATATACCTAATCAATGAATAGCAGCACGTTTTGTCACTTGTTATTGCTTCCTGCATACTTTCGTTATAATCTTTGTGGTGATGTTCAACAATGGTGTCTCATCACCTTTTCATCCAGAAAATGATTAACTGAACACAGTGGTTTTAGGTTTGCACGCATAGTAATTTGAAGGTGCTGCAGAGGTACAGTTGATTGTTTTATGGCTTTTGTGGATATTCACTTTACATAGATTAGTCTATGAAATGTGGACAACTCAAGAATTTGTCACTCATGATACTTTCTCTATTATTTTCTGGTCGTCGTCACAAGTCACTTCCACCAGTACCATCTTACCAGCATCGATAGTAACCTAAAATCTACTTCTGAATGCATTCTATTTTTTTTTTGGAAGGAATGCGACTTATCTTGAAGTGCAGCCGGGGTTTCCAACCCCTGGCAATCCAAGATATGTTGGAAAGCCTGATCAAAAAGAGGCCTCTTTGGCAAAATGTCTACTTGTCTGACTTCTTTTCGCAGGTATTTGATTAAAATTAGCTCCCAGCTCTGGGTTTGCATTTGCAGGACTGGATGCTCATTCGATAGGTGCTAATAAGTTGAAAATGTTTATTGGTGAGTTTGTTCATGATACTCAACAGGTGTTTCCAACCCCTGGCGATCCAAGATATGCTGAAAGTCTGGGTCAAAAAGAGACCTCCTTAGCAGAATGTCTACTTCACCGACCTCTTTTCTCAGATACCTATTTAAGCTCTTTCCCGGCTCTTCGGGGCTGGTATGTTCATTTAATAGGTGCTAAAAAGTTGAAAATATTTGTTGATGATTTTGTTTATGACACTCAAATGTTCATCTTGTCACTATTATCTGATATGCTGGAAGTTAGACTGACAAATCACCAAGTTTACTCATTTACCCAATTCAGTAACACAGATATTCAAAATAATACAATTATAATGGAAGAAAACAACATATATACAAGTGATATCTGCATAATGAGGACAGTCTATACAGAATACGAGGATTCCTTATAAGAATAATTGGCCTAGAATAAACAATTAAATAAAAAAAAACTATATGTAAGGAAATTCTAAACCTAGATATGAATTCGTTAAAGCGATTGGTATAATTATCATGCAATTTGTTTATGAGCTTATTAGATAGAATATAAAATCTCGTATGCTAAAAACAGTAACAAGACCATAAAAATCTTTCTTTATTGGAATTAAATTTATCAATATGAAGTTCATTAACTTTCTTACTAAACAAAGGTAACAGTACTCATCAGTTATTCTTATGGCTTCAGGCAGGTCATTCCATAAAGCTCCAATGCGATTTAAAAATTGACGTTGAAAAACATGTGTTCTAAAGCGACCCTTAAATAGAACTGCTTCTGAGTTTTTCATGCTATACTTAGAGGACTTGAAATTAACATGCAACTGAGCGTCAAAGTCCATAAAGACATTTTTAAAAAAAAAAAAAAATCTAAAACGTCCCTTCTAAACTGATGTTAACTCGAAACCGCTGATAGATATAGACGTCTTTCATTTACTTTAACTCAGCTTCCGCAGAGAAAAACTAAACATCTCTGTCTCTCTCCCTCCTGCAATTGTCAAAGGTCTTTTTTGAGGTACTCATATTTGGAGGTGCTTATACATGGCGGAAGTTTGCAATACCAGCTGTAAGTAAACGTTCGTATTCACCGAAGGATTATTTATCTTTACCTGTGGGCCATGTTGTTCGCCTCTGGCTTTTCGTGGCGGAAAGCGATCTCCATGGTCACACCATGGTGTTCCGGCTGTGATGCTAATGGACCCCTAAACATCTAAACATGGAGATACCTTTTATGAGTATGGGTGGAAACGCAACTAAGTACCACTTAAAGAGTTCCCCGAGGTCTCCTGGGATGAAAAATGTCGGAGTTCATAGGTCTGGGCATTGTATTCAGATTCGTTGCTTCATTTCAAAGGAAACCTGTAACTTACTAAAACAGCTGGAAATTGGTATGTGCATCAGTCTCAAGGAAGCGCCCAAGGTGAATGAGTACGGAGTCATAAAGTCCAAAAATGTGATATGCCTGTGCCAGCGATCTGTCAAGTAGCTTTTAAACTAGGAGAGCAAATTCCCTCTTACACCAAAAGCAAAAAACTCCCTCAGCAAACAGTTAAAGATACGGAGTCACTGTTCTGGTTTTCATGATGGTAATATCCCGAAGTGAGTCGAGTGGCTTAACAAACACAGAAGGGTCATTCCACATGAGAACAGAAAAAAAGACCATTTTTGAAATAAACTACTCTAAGAATTTAAGGGCATAACTAAAATGCATGAGGACTGAAGTTTCAAAAATCATCAGGACTAAGTGCAGATCCACCGTTCGGTACTGAGGGGGGACCCAAAGTAAGCGACTACTAAAAGAGTCATTTTCAAATCAAATTCAAATAAACTTTATTGGTACATCCAATTAAAATGGGTTTTCACATACCAATTACAATAAAATCTAATATGAACAATAGAAATTCAATATAAACATTTGAAAGTGAAAAAAACATTACCATACTATTTAAAAAATATAAAATATGCATAATTACACGTATTAAGTGTCAATGGCTTAAAAACTCGTGAAGGGCACGTCCTTTAATCGCACTCTTAAAAACATTAAATGACTCTATGTTTGCTAAACTTTCTGGAAGGTCATTCCAGAGCTGAACAGCCCTATATGAGAAAGATCGCTGACCTGTTGCTGATCTAAAAGATGGTACATGAAGTTTATCTTTATTCCTAGTATTTCTAGTATGCATCTGCCTTCTTGTCGAAAACTTATTACACAAGGATGGTGGGGCTAATCCCTTTATACATTTGAAAGCCATTAAAATGTCTCTAACCTCCAGTTGCTTAGCAACCGGCAACCAGTGGAGTTCCTTTAACATCGGCGTGATGTGCTCATACTTTCTTGTGCCAGTCACAATCCGTGCCGCAAAATTCTGAACTTTTTGAAGCCTAGCAATGTTCTTTTTTGTTGTACTAGACCACATGGAGGAACAATAGAAAATCTTGCTGAACACTAATGAATTTATGATGGTTATGAGCGTAGACCTATCAAACAAATGTTTCACACGATTGATTTGGCACAGGCTACCTGTACACTTAGATACAACATCGGTCACATGTTCGTCAAAACTAAGGCGCGAGTCCACGATGACCCCCAAATCTTTTGCAGAACGAGACGGTAGAATCTCCTTACCGAGTAGCGTAACTCCAAAACCCTCCGGCACACGAGCTAACATCTGCGGGGTTCCAAGAAGCAATAACTTAGTCTTATCTGGATTTATCAGCAAGCTGTGTGTGCAACACCAGGCGGCAATCCGTTGCAAATCTTCGGATAAATGTTCCACAGCCATGGCTGTCTCCTGGACAGGAAACGAGAGATAGAGCTGGGAATCATCCACGTAACTCTTTAGTGAGCACAGGTTAGGGACAGCTGGAAGATCGTTGATGTATATATTAAAAAGGGCTGGTCCCAAGATCGACCCTTGAGGTACACCATAAGCTACCTGGCGAGGATCTGACACCTCACAACCAATCCTCACCCGCTGATTCCTGTCCGTCAGATAGCTTCTAAACCATTCCATGGCCTGTATAGACACACCCAGTTCTCGAAGTTTACGTAATAGGATCCCATGCTCGATACTGTCAAAGGCCTTTGACAAGTCCAACAGAACCAACGCTGTGACTTGTTTTCGATCCATTGCTTCGAGAATCATATCGGACATGAAAATATGGAGTGTTTCTGTCGAGTGCTTCTTCTTGTTTCCATTTTGATGTTCAGTTAAACAGTTCTGACGTGTTGTGTACTCCGTTAACTGATTAAGAGCTGCTCGTTCGCAGATCTTAGACAGAGCGGGTAGCAGTGATACTGGCCGGTTGTTATTAGCAACCTCATGATCTCCTTCCTTTAATATCGGTATCACCACGGACTCTTTCCAAGCAGATGGAAAAACTGATGTTAAAAGCGATCTATTTATAAGCTCTGTCAGAACTGGAAGTATAACTGGTAGGGCATCCTTGATCACACTCATGTGACAGTGAATGCGATAATCTTTTAACCATGATTCAAACAACTGAGTTTAGTGAAGATAATATGTAACATTAAATGTTTAGTGTAACCAAAGTTCTCCACCAAAAACCAAAGTATTTTCAAATTCCATTTTTTCGGAGAAAAAAGTAACTGCCAGAATTATTGACATGGACGTTACGTAACGTCCATGAAGTTTGATGGAATTCTTTTCTCTCACAGCTGTTTTCTAAGCCCGATATAAAAACTAACAAAGACGCTTTTTTATTTGACCAAGTAACATACACCTGTGACAACAAAACCAATCAGTTTCAAAAGGACGCACCAAAAGTGTGATTTTAAATTTGTCATACTTCATGGATGTTACTCTCATGGACTCAACATTATGACAACAATAACATAGAACATAGTTCTAAACACCTTTTCAACAAGAAGGTTTTTGGAATTTTAAATCAAGGAATAAAAAATGCATATAAAGATAAGCTTAATGATGAGTCACAAACAGTTACTTCTTCGACTTATGTTTTTTCTTCAAAACCTTGAATACCTTCTCCACAACTGCTTGTTTCTCAATTTTGAATGGTCGATTGTATTGGAGATTGACAGGACCAAAGAAATGCAAGATATATGGGGAGCATCAATGTCATCCCTTTCTCACCAATCAAATCTGTTTGCACCAACTTTGTGAAGAAACTTGAATTTTACAAATGGCCCACTTGCATCAAGCACTCTACCAAAATAGTAGTTCTTGACGTGGTCTACAGCATAGTAGTCGCCAGGCAAGAACCCCATGGGTGGTATGGAATGGAGAACTGTGTCATGGAGTGCCAAGATCATGGCTTTCCGGAATCCTGGAATACTGCTTTGGGTCAGCATCTTACTACCCGCTAAACATCTGACATACAGGCATACAAAAAACACCACAATCGAAGTCATTATGCTGTTGTGGAATCTCCTTTGCTTTACTGAAGTAAAACTCCCACTGGCTACCACCAATAGTGTTGTCAACATCAACCACAAATGACGTCATCTTATTAACTGACTGAAAAGCAGTTGGTTTAACAAAGTCCCCACTCTTGCTGTCAAGTACTAGAATGCACTTCTTGGATGGTAACACAGCAAGGAGGTACCAATGCAATGAATGTTGGTTACATGGGACAAAAATCATGTCCTGCTCAAGAGTGGACCTTTGCCTTTTGTGACTTCAGCAGCTGTCTTGTTACCAACTCCTCTTTCAAATTCTTCCCAGGAGAGTACTTCTATCTTGAAACCACTTACAGAGGACTTGACCAATTTTAAGAATGCATCAATGCCAAATTTTGGTAGTCATTTAGACACACTTGAGGGTCCCCTTCCATAAAGAGCCTCAAGGTCAGGCTTGGCAATAAGGCCACTTTCACCAAAAGCAATATCGCCATTAACAATCATCTCTATAAGGAGATTGTTGTGTGCTGGAACTGAAAAACTGGGACGAATGTTATTCAATACAGAGACAAACTCTTTAGGCAAACCAGGCTGTATTGAATGACCATTCACGATAAGAGGCTTAGTTATGTAGGGAGAAGTGGTGTCTCCACTGTCATAATCATAATCATCATCATTATTCTTGTCACCATTACTGACATCATCATCATCACCATCAACATCATCGCTATCAACACTACTTTTCTCATCAAAATCACTGTCTCCTTCATAGTCATCACCATTCTCTTCACTGAGCACTTCATTAAACATCTCATCATTCTGTTGGTCAGGATCACTTTCATCTTCACTACATAAAGGCTGCACTAGCTGTTTAACATGTGTCCCTTGCGCTGAGTACAGACGAAATTTCACACATTTTGTCTTGGGATTTATCTCCATGCAATGAAACTTGCTTACTCCTGGTACAGAGTTGGCATCCTGGAAGACCTTTTCCAGTTAAGCTTAAGTTAAGCTTTTTGGACACCTCTTCAGTATTCTTTCTTGTGATACGAGTTATGCTGGTGGACTGACAAAACTGTTGGGCAGCATCAGCAAAAGACTTTGCACTGGTCACACTTTCCACTTTTCTTGTAGAGACTGCACTCCAGACTATCCTTTTAACAGTGCCTCCAACCCCATCAACTGCACCTTTCCCATGTGAGGTTGCAAAGTAATGCCATGAAATTCTTGCTCCTAGATTCTTCTGAAAAGTGTGAAGGAGCTGGACCATATATTTGTTCTTAAATTGCGAACATGGTGCGTCTGAGAAAATGTGAACTTCTGGAACATCAGGATTTTTTCTTTNATTCTGTTGGTCAGGATCACTTTCATCTTCACTACATAAAGGCTGCACTAGCTGTTTAACATGTGTCCCTTGCGCTGAGTACAGACGAAATTTCACACATTTTGTCTTGGGATTTATCTCCATGCAATGAAACTTGCTTACTCCTGGTACAGAGTTGGCATCCTGGAAGACCTTTTCCAGTTAAGCTTAAGTTAAGCTTTTTGGACACCTCTTCAGTATTCTTTCTTGTGATACGAGTTATGCTGGTGGACTGACAAAACTGTTGGGCAGCATCAGCAAAAGACTTTGCACTGGTCACACTTTCCACTTTTCTTGTAGAGACTGCACTCCAGACTATCCTTTTAACAGTGCCTCCAACCCCATCAACTGCACCTTTCCCATGTGAGGTTGCAAAGTAATGCCATGAAATTCTTGCTCCTAGATTCTTCTGAAAAGTGTGAAGGAGCTGGACCATATATTTGTTCTTAAATTGCGAACATGGTGCGTCTGAGAAAATGTGAACTTCTGGAACATCAGGATTTTTTCTTTGATAAAGGTACTCAATACTTCGTCCATAAACACTGCCACAGATTTCTTTTCATGGCTATGGTCATCAGAGACAATGGCATAGGAATTACACATGTTTTCATCACTTTTGCTCCAGATCACCACGGGGAAGAGAGTCACTTGTTCTTGACTCCAGCGGGCTGCTTGAATTTCATCCGGTTGAAAGCAAGTGTAATTCTCTGCAAAATCAGTCTGAACAACTGCCTCTTTCGCATTAAGGTTTTGAACTTTTCCTGCAAAAATCTGGTCTGTTTTCTTTGGACGAAGACATGCTGCAAATAATGAGGCATCTTTTTCATTAGGGACGTTATAGCCTCCTCAGTGCTGCTCTCTTTAAGGACCTTCAGCATCTTTGTAACCTGTCGCTGACCTTTTTCTCGTTTTCCTGGCATGGTCTGTGTTACTCGTTCCCACTGACACCAATTTATTGTTTTATGCGGTGGTGCATCTGCTGAAATTTCTAGTAGCCACTCACTGGGGCATTTTGCACATTTCCCTGTCGTGCAGAACTCACTTGTGTTGTCACACACAAAGTTATCACCTAATGCTTCAAAGTAAGGAGGAA